GCGAATTGTGCTGACCGCCGCAGTCGACCGATTCGGTGCCAATGTGCCACTTTGTTTGCTTGCAAACGCTGTACGAGCAGTTCAATCTGGTGTCCCCACAGATCATGACCGATGACAAGATCCGGATCCAGTTTGTGCAATCGGGTAAGAAAACGGCCGAGAAGTGCACGCTCATTCTGTTCCACATCTATTCCGCCACCTCCACCGACGCGATTGAAGCTCATCGTGGAATTTCGACGAGCTGGACTCGGTTTCGCCGTGTCCGTCTCGTTCGATGCGCTAGCGAGCCAAGTAGGTGCGGGCGGGGCGTATTGAGCACCGAAAGACGGGAGTTTGGTTCGTAGATCATACGGCAATGCAGCATCTTTTGGTGGTGCCAAAACTGAATTTAAGATATAGTGAAGAAAGGAAAAGAGAAGGAAAATTGGATAATAAGAATACTGATTTGTCCCAGACGACGGAAGAATATCGTCGACTGATCCGTGTACTGTGAGGATTGTAAGTGGATCGGCTGTAGTTTCCCTAATATCATTCAACCCACTATCACAAGAGGCAAACACAATTGAAAATGTGAGAATGAATCTAAGCTTTACACCTCAACAGCCAATGTGAAGACAGGTAGAATTCGCACCACATTAGATTAGTTCTGCAGTCAGTTCACCGTCTGTGAGCGCTACGATTTGACCGTCAGATAGACAGATGAACAGGATCAAAGAAATGTACTCTAAACTGCTTACCGAGATAGTGTGACTGGAACAAGTGCTGGCCGACTGGGCGATCCAGGGAGTAATTATGATCAATCAACATCCCGATTGAGATGATCTGTTCAAGGGATCGAGGTGGATTTGGGATGGGGTGGGGTAAAAGAAGAGTGCAGAGAGCAAATGAAACCGGAGCGTGAAAATTGTAAATATGTGCAGGTAAAAAGCTGCCGGATCTGGGACTGTAAGTGAACTGAGAGTTGAGTTTGATTGCGTGATCATATCCAGATACAGAATGATACGCCCGGTTTTATGACAAGAAAAATTAGAGCGTATGATATTAATCTTTTTAGTTCACTTGCCAGCTTTTATTTTCAGTCATCTGAAACGCTAAGCCAACAAAGTGGGTACACATTGCAAACGTATTCATAAAAATACTACTCGCATGGTTATCGGTAAGTGACAGGGAAAACGTAAGCTACTCACAAGGGAAAAGGTTGAATTACGAAGAAACCGCATCTAGACATGATTTGACGGCTTTTTGTTTTATTTTTATTACATGCCGGTGTGTGATGGACAGCAGACGGGGGTGGAACCTCATAGCCACGAACAATTGCTGCTCAGTGATGGTAACCGGTAACCTAAGCCCCGGAACATGGAGTGGCGAACCATAACATACCATAACATAAGGCCCCGCTAGGTCAGGAGTGGCATTGAGCCGGGCGACAGCAAAGCTATCTACTACTGAAGTTGGGTGGCGAGGCTCGAACCACAGGGCCCAAAGCACGCCGGTGACAGTGACTAAACCACTAC